CCTAACAAATTAAAAGCAGTGTCACACTCTCTCCCATGCATCCCTCTTTCCTTCTCTCTATATATTCGAGTCCATCTATTTGACCAGACACAACAGAATCCAGATTTCGTCTTCTTCCTTCTGTAAGTAAATTTTATTGTAATTCAATCCCTCTTTCTAGGGTACAAATGATAGAGTAATTCACCTTGTAAGGGATCTCAGCCAGGTCAAATAAAATAGTATTTGTTCCCCGTTTTAAGACCTTCTTAAATAAGCATTCAAGGATGTACTTTCGATTCAATCGCAAAGAACCTTACATAATGTGAGTCCTCCTTTAAAAATTCTGTTAAGTTATGGAGTCTAATTATCATACGGAGTTAGTACACGGATCAATTTTCGTGGCGAGGTCGCCGTATAGTTGGAAGGGGAGCGTCATAAATCTTGTCTTATAAATTGGTCTTGCCCTAATTTGTGTTATAAATGGGGAGTTATCATCATTAGGGTTTTATATTACTATTATAAAAGGGAGAGATTAGAGAATATAGGATGTGCGATTTTTTTTTTGTAATTTTCTTTTCATCATAGTAAATTATTAACACTGCGAAAGTAGTCTCACATTAGGCCACTTCGGACTTAGGAGTGGCAGCCAACTTAATTTTTGATGTGAAAAAGCATGTAAACATTTTTTTTTATATATTAGTGAAGCCAGAAAATTTGTTCAGTGCGGGCATAATTTAACTCATGTTGAACATTGTGTTTTGGTAATAAATTTAATGATGATAAAATTATTAAACAAAATCATGGGTTTGGGCCTAAAAATAAAACCCATAAAATTAAAATATGTTTTTATTCCACCTCCCCTGTTGCTTTAAAAAAAAAAATGAAAAAAAAAAGTTTGGGCCTAAAATTTCAGTCCGGGCATATGCCTGCACTCGTCTTAACGTGGCTCCGCCCCTGAGCTATATATATTTTTTAAGTTCAGTACTGGATATGCCATTGATTAAGGTAAACCTATGTAAATCTTGTGTATTCTTTTGAACACAGGCCTCAAGAAAATGAAACTAGTGGCGTTTCTTTTGATTTCTGTGATGGTATGTTCATGCATGGCAGCTGCTGCTCCTCGCAGAGCTCTGGTTAGCAGCACTAAAATACACAACGCGGAACAACATGTTGAAGAGCTGCAGGGAATTGCAGTAGGGAGATTGAGTAGTGACAATCATCATAACATACCTAGACAGTACTACGGTCAGTGGGGTAGCAGTTCTAATGGAGGCGATGGTGGTGACACTCCTAATGACATAAAATGGAAGTGACTGATAATTATATATAATATTTATGTTGCATGATCATAAAATTTATGATGCATGTTTTGTATTGTAATTGTATTTTCTACAAGGATCCTATAAATATTATGTAATTGTATTTTCTATAAGGATCATATAAATATTATGCTATCCCTTAATTCATGAATTATTATTATTATTATTTTTTTAAGAATAAAATTTCAAATCTCATTTAGTCCCCTGTTTGATGGGGATTAAAATCGAATTTATAGTAAATTTTGGTAAATATAAAAGTTGACGAAATGTATTGTTAAAAAATTGTGGATTTAATGAATTATGTTATTAAAATTAATTATTGTCTTTGATTTAAATTAAAATATAAATTTTAATTCGTATCAAATCGGGGATTAATCTTCCTAATTTCATTTGTAACATAATTAGTGCATTAAGTTACTTTTTACTTTTTGTCCTCCCTTTTTTTTTCAAACATACATATTCAAAAAATTATTATACGTGTTTCTTACTAAACATTTATTTCCTTTCAAATACACATTATCTATTCATTTATCCTAAATCAACCTCTCACGGATTTGTAAGTCTTTTCTTTTCTTTTCTCATTTATAATAATAATAATAATAATAATAATAATAATAATAATAATAATAATAATAATTGTCGATTATGTATAAAATAGATTAGAATATGGGAATTTGGATCGAGAAACTTATATTATAATATTTAGTTTCTTGAATTTTTCTATTTTACTTTTGATTAATATTTAGCTCAAAATTCCAGTAATTTTTCTTATTTACTTAATTTCAATTCTTATATATTTTTCTGACTGTGGTAAAAAAATTATTTCTGTTCGTTACTAGAATCATTTTATCACTTTAGTCATCTTTTAATTTCATTTTTTACAATTTATGTTTCTCTCTATATTCTGATTGACTTAATAAATCGATTTATGAGTGCAAATAAACGAGTTTTAATATTTGTTATTAAAGTGGAACCCATAATTGTCATTTAATCACTGAAATTTATGCACACAATTTGTGTTTCTAATATTTGAAAGTGGAACTTTTAGCAACATATATCGTCTATGAATGCAAACTTATTATTATTATTGTTGTTGTTGTTATTATTATTATTGTGAATATCTGCATTGATCGCTCTTCTTCTGCAAAGTTGTCTCCGGTTTGCAAATAATATAATAGTATCGGCAGAGTTCTATGAGTTTTGAGTCTTAATAGAAAAGCTAAGGTCTTCTTTAACATAAAT